TTTTTCCAAAAAAAAAAAAAAAAAAAAAAAAAAACAAAGCATAAATAAACCTTGTCTGAAAAAAACCTTACCACAGCGGCAAATTTTCATTGGAAAGGGTCTCTCGTTGCCAATGTTCAATTTTTTTTTCCCAGTTAGGACGTGCGATGAATGCGTGTATGCTTAAGTCCTCAACCGAATCCGAATCCCCTTTATAAAAGAATTGAGCATAGCGCCTTAAAAAATGGTAAATTAACAAATTATATCTGAGAAATACAGTTTCCCGGCTAAAGAACAGCCGGTAATACATACCGTCTTTGGGCAGTGCGCTTAAATCGATGAAAATTATCCGGTCAGAATAAAAACAGCCTGTCTCAGATTTTATGGAAAATTTACAATTAATTTCGTCACCTTTTATATTCTCTTTTTCCAGCGCCAAACTTTATGACCGGCATGTCCCAAACCAGAATGAACTCCACATCTATCGATGACTGCGCTTCAACACTATTTTCCGCACAAAGTGCAACGCCAAGTTCATCGCACCTCTCCACAAAAATACCTTAAGTTCAGCAATTAAAGGGGAAATTCGAAATTTGTTTCAACTTTTAAACAAAATTTATATATTCAGAATAATACCTTCGTTATCAAGATGCCCATACTCAGCGAGAGCACTCCAGAGTGACGAGCCATCGGATGTTGGGTCGAAAGTTGCGCGCGACAACGAGATGTCCTTCTGCAGTTTGATTACCCAATTAGAAAATGCCAATTTTCGATTTTGCAAGCTGCCAACGTATCCAAAAATTCTTTTAACCATCTCACCCTGAGTGGTATTTTACTTGTCATGATCCTCTAGCTAACGACCAGTGTGATTATTAAACACGTCTTTTTCTTCATGGATAGCATATTTTCTAGCTAAATGGGGGAAAAATGTCTAAATCAGTTTCATACTTCACCAGTTTTTTAATCCAGAATACTTCTCTGATTCTGGCAGAGAACGTTGTCCTCCCTTCAACCATCAGTCCACCAATCATCAGTTCAATAGCGGTGGCGGTCATGAAATGAAAATTCAAGAAAACTTACATCATTCCTGGCCGCAAGTCCATAACAAACATTTAAGCCATTTATTGTGTGTCTCAATTTGATACCGTAAGTCAAAATCGTATCGAATGCTTCAGCACTAAAACAGCAACTCCGAGAAGGCCTATAGGTCAAACACATTTCAGTTCATCAGGATATGCTACGACAGAGCTACCAGAAACCCTATGTGCACGTATGCATTCAAGAAAATCCCATGTACTGGGCCGTTTGGATTCAAGAACATCTCATGAACTACACACTGGTAGTAGCAACAAAAATTTATAAAATCTGAAATGATGAGAAGCGCTTACTAGCAATTGGACTTCGCATAAATCGGGTTACCGGTACCATTACGGAACGTGAATGTAATAGAAACGGAATATGGTGTGGGAGAATTGTTCACGACGATCCACCTGAACGAGCACAGAGGAAGACTGGTATCCTGAAATTAATGAAACTAACGAACTTAAAAGCCGAAAACGCGAAATTTCCATTTCAGTGTCTCCCGATGACGATTTTATGAAAGGAGCATAAGATTCCGCCCCCATTCTCCCTAAGACGATAAAATGACTTTTTGGAATCTAGGGAAAAAGGTGATAAAAGGAGATGATAGGGCAAAAGAAAGAGGGATAAGGGAGTTAAAAGAAGGTAAGAGAAGAGACAAATGGAAACGAGAAAGGTTCTCGTGGGGATAAAAAAAGGATAAAAGTAGGGAAAATTGTAAAAAAAAAAAATAGAGAAAAAAAATCTCTTACGCTGTAATCACACGGGAATACAGGAGACAACTGCCGGCACATTATCCTGATATTGAAGTCCGGAATTTCGAACATCGCCCACGATCTTGGATACAAACCACGATAATGGTAATGATGCGGCGGAAACGAGAAATCCCAGCTCGACAAAACGGACGAATGTGGAACTGCGCATGATAACACTTTCTGATAAACGCAAACGCCATCATGCTGCCGCCGAAGCGTCAAAATGAACTAAAAAACAGTGCAAGAATTAAGACATTAAAAATCGCAAAGTTTGCATTATTAAACGAAATAGAATGAATTGCTTAGAGACATCGTCCTTGTGGAGTAAAATGAATTTCTCGAATAAAGACAAGTGAAAAGAAGAAAAAACAGATGTAGATTAGAATATCAAGGAAAAAACGCATAATCACAATACCATAATTCAAAAAAATGCGCTCTGTAGGAAGAGTGTCGCTATCAACCAGAGGCACCACCCGCAAATTACGTGTGCCGCTGCTTCGTAAACTGGACCCAGCTGGACAGTTTTTTAGCTTTTAGAATTTTAGAACTGAACTGTGCGAACAGAAATAAACAGCAGTAAGTGATTACATTCATGAGATTATCGTCATGCATTTTTCAAATGAGTTACGCATAGACATGAAAATACAAGCTGATTTCAGTCGGGACTTCAGATGGGTGCAATCGCCGTTTTTTACGGCAAAAAGTCTCAATGTTAGTTTTTTCGACCAACCGGTAAGGATGGCAAAACTTTGACGAAGGTTGCTGCTTCAGCTTGTTGAAGGGAGTAGTTTGGCACAGGTTGCTTCTCGGTCCTCCACTGAACAATCCGGGGTCACGGTCTCCATCGTTTTCTCCTTTACTTTTTTTTACAGCACCATTTGTCTCCACTTGCTTAGGAAATTTGGGGAAGCAATTTAGATTAGTAATAGAAAAAGAGTGTTTTCACCAGAGTCCTTGCTTCATTCTGTGATGAACTTCGTTGATGCACTTTGCTTTTCCTTTATAAATTAGCATTCTGATCTTCCATTTCTTTAAAAAAAAAAAAAAAAAAAAAAAAAAAAAAAAAA